ACCAAAGTTAAGCTAGCTGAAGATTATGTTATGGGTACTGATATAAATACAAAGATTTTTTTTCGTAAATACATATATATTATCTATACATAGAAAACACCCAGACCGTTACAAACAATCATACTCATGAATACAAATGTTTGCAGCGTGCGAGGAATCGAACCCTCGACCACCAAGCAGGAATCAAAGCAGTGTGCTAGCTAAATCGCTAGACTACCGACAACTAGCTGTACACGCGACTTCGTCCGCGTGGAATTTAACTTCTTATATTTTAGAAAAATAAAGTTAAATTCAACACGGACGAAATCCCGTGTACAGCTAGTCATCAATAAAAAAACACGTAGGTATCTCTAATATATTATACACTAGCTGTTCCCGCGACTTCGTCCACGTGGTTTTTAACTTTATTTTTCTAAAATAAAAGTAGCCTAAGTTACTCCTTATTACATCAGCTACCTGCCAAAAAAAGTCCCGTCAAAATCGGTCCAGCCATTTCAGAGATTAGCCGGAACAAACAGACAGACAGACAAAAATTGTAAAATATGTTATTTTGGTGTATGTACCGTATTTATATTCATATGCAAGTAGTAAAAAACGGTTATTTCAATATTACAAACAACAGGCTTCAACATTCTCAAGTACCACAAAAAAGATGTTTTTATTAAAAACAAGGTGTTCCCGCGACTTCGTCCGCGTGGAATTTAACTTTATTTTTCTAAAATAAAAGTAACCTAAGTTACTCCTTATAAATCAGCTACCTGCCAAAAAAAAGTACCGTCAAAATCGGTCCAGCCATTTCAGAGATTAGCCGGAACAAACAGACAGACAGACAGACAGACTAAAATTATAAAAATAGTTATTTTGGTATATGTACCTTATATATATTCATATGCATGTAGTAAAAAACGGTTTTTTCAATATTACAAACAGACACTCCAATTTTTATTAAATGTATAGATGTATAGATTATTATTTATTTATTCATCCAAAATAATACAAATTGTGTAGGATAACGTAATAGTAACATTACAGTAAAATTTTGTCAATAACATAATAGCAACTTAAACATTAAATCTCGGTATATCTATAGACTAGCTGGCCCCAGCGACTTCGTCCGCGTGAAATTTTATTTTATTTTTCTAAAATAACAGTAGCGTAAGTTACTCCTTATTACATCAGCTACTTGCCAAAAAAAGTCCCGTCAAAATCGGTCCAGCTATTTCAGAGATTAGCCGCAACAAACAGACAGACAGACAGACTGTACTATGCTATACTATGTATTGATTGATATACCTAAAATAAATATAATATCTGAGGTTTGAACAAAAACTCAAAGGGTAATTTATTTTGAAAAAGTATTTTGAAAATACCTATTTTGCTTTTAGTGTTATAGTACTTTAACTGTTATGTTTTAAGTAACAATGTTTAATTATAATTAATACTACTGCACCAACACTCCGATCGTGCAAAAAATTTAGCTGTTTCATTATTTTTTAGTTCAATTAGTGGTCTACCTAAGTCCTGGGCTAAGGGGGGAGAGTCATGACCCCCCATGACTCCCAAGACCTCCATGACGCTCCCCCCTGGATCCGCCGTTACGTCTTCTCTTCATTCGCTCAGTAACGTTGTTACAAAAGGAAAAATTCCCGTCCAAAAAATAACAAGTATTGAGGTTTGATCTGGAGTCACGTTACTCCAGACTGATTTCTATAAATATTTAGATTAGGTAGACTATTATTTTTGAAATACTAGCTAGACATTATTAAGTTACTGTAGCCATAATGTAGTAGCCCAAACGTGCCAATGAGGAAGCCCTTGGCAAATGCTGCACCCTGATTGGCCCGTTTGAATTGGATCAAGAACTGCTCGTATGCCAAAAAGGTGGATTTGTATAAAATCGTGTATAAATCGCTTAATTATTATTATTACTCGTCGTGACAGTTGTGGCTCAAAACGGATCAACATTTATATATGGTCATCTGGCATTAGATCAACAAAAGGCCTCCGGATCAACAAGTGAAAAAGGATCAACAAAAAACTACCTATACGGCACGTCTGAGCCACAAAGTGCCCAAGGGGATATTTATATATATATATATATATATATATATATATATATATATATATTGTTTTAAAATTGTCATATAATTTATTAAACAAATGCTATACAGTGTAAATTGTAAATTATAGGATAAAAAGCGTGACATCTTAGTCCTCTTAATCTCAATCTAATCTTAGTATAATGACGATACACTACTCGTGCGTCACGGGTGTTATTTTTTTTTATTTATTTATTTCAGGCAACTAGGCCCATATTATAAATACCTTATAGACTAACATACATATAATATAATATTTAAAAACTAATACAATGATATTGTCTGTGTGATCACGGCACTGAAGACGGCAATCTGCCACGGTAGCGCCGATATACCACACCTTTCGGCCAGTAGTCCTCTTTCATGAAGGTGGGCAGCAGTTATGATAACGTGATGTCCGTGATACTGTTCATGTATATAGGCGACGGTTACCACTTACCATCAGTTGGACATATGTTGTTTTGTTATATATAGGTAAAGTACCAGGACAACATGAATTCATAGAAGGTTCGGAGCGTGAATTAATATTAGTATATTTACATAGTACGGATGAGATCTTAGTTGTCAGTCAAGTGTGATATAGGCGTCACGTGATGTCCTGGATACTGTTCATGTATATTGGCGTCGGTTACCATTTACCATCAGGTTTTATTACCATTCTCGTTGAAACAAGCAGTGTGATACAGCGATACTATAGCGAAAGTACCAGGACAACATGAGTTCATAGAAGGTTTGGAGCGTGAATTAATAGTAGTATATCTACATAGTACGGATGAGATCTTAGTCGTCACGAATGACAACTCTTTATGTGTGATATAGACGTCACGTGATAACGTGATGTCCTTGGTACTGTTCATGTACATAGGCAACGGTTACTACTTACCATTAGGTGGGACGTAAGCTTTATTTTACCATTCACGTTGAAAGTGTGATACAGCGATAGTACCAGGACAACATGAATTCATAGAAGGTATATATTTTCTCTACGGTATAATATAAATACAAGTGTATTCTCTCTATCGAAATAGAATAACTGTCAGAAATGTAAGAACCACTAATTATGATGACGACTTAGGCTTCGAAGCCGGCCACCGGAAGAAAAACCCCAAGTAGCGCCCGTGACTTGTGACACGGGTGTAGGTTTAAAAGGCCCTTTTAGAATGCATTAACACTCACCTTCACTACTTGCAGCTTCCCCCCAGGCCCAACTAAGACCGGGATAAACCCATTCCTAATACAATTCACTTTAGAATCCAAAACACAACCGGCACGCTCTGCGCTCGTCGACTGAATGCCGCGGCTCACGCAACGAAAGAGAATTATTCAACTACCGACCTCCGTATTTATAGACCGAAATCAGTGTAGTAGGTCGGTCTATAAATACTAGATGGCGCTATTTACAATATTCGTAATAATCCTTACATTGGGTACTTCATTAGTACTAAACACAAACTACCTTCTTTTAATATCTTTTTAATATATCGGATTTTCTACAATATTGATGAGAACCGTAATATTCCTAGTTTCTGTATTTACAAAAAAAAAACACAATATACATTTTAAATAATTACTCGAATTATTTAATAATATATTTTGTTACAATATATAAATATTCATTAAACCAGTACATATAGATGGCACTCCAAACCGAAGGAAGGACTTATGGAGCGGCTGAAGGCCAACTCTCGCCTGACGGATACGACTTTAGTTTGAGGGTACCGCTAGGGGTTAAAACCTCTCAGGTCATCGTAATTACGATCCCCATTTGAATTGGACGGGGTTCGATCGGAGGGGTGACCGGGGGCACCGGTGTGGAGTGCCGGATATTATACATTAATTATTACAATAATAAATTTGTCTATGATATATATTTTGGCGCGAAAAGTGATGTAATAGTTTGTAAAATATAAAAACTTAATAAACTATAAATATGTCATAATAAAATTGTATTAAGCGAGATCAACATATTAATAAAATTAGAAATAATTATTCTAATATTCATAATAATAATAATAATACTTTATTTGCCAAATGTAGGTAAACAATAAGGTGTTATAAATATGTTGTTGAGATCCGTACATTAACCTCGTAAGAGGTGTGCAAAATTTCAAATTGTAGGTACAATTAATGTATAATGAAATAAAATTACTGTACTACGTCATCATACCGATAGTCATTAATCAATTGTCTTTACGTCAATGTATCAGTCAGGAAATCACCAACCGTGTAGTAAGTTTTACCAATCAGTATATTTCTAAGAGCAGTTTTAAATTGATGGATACTACCAATAGATTTTAATGCCCTTGGAAGATTATTATATATTCTAGGTCCCATTCCTAAAATACTATTACACGACATAGCAGTTTTAGCCGGAAAATTACACAATTTATCATTATTACGTATTCCTTTGATGTTATTAATCATAGGCAATGGGAGGCACAACCTATCCCTCAACTTGAAAATTGTACGGAACTGAACCCGCGACCAACAGATCGACGGTGTACCAAACCGCATAACCACCATAGTCTTCAAACTATATATGACAGCTGCTATAGTAAAAAATAATTACCACTTATGTGTAGATACAAACTGTGCATCTGGGACATATATGGTAAGCATGTCCGAAACTGAACTTTATGCTCTGGAGATAAGGTTAAAATTTACAGATACCATGTTCAGAATCTTGGCACATTAAAACTGAACTTTAATATAAGGATATAAGGTCCAAATTCCTTTATCATCATATACCTATTAGAGCTGCACCCGTACGATGGGCCCGTGTTGCTCGTCGTGCAGCCTGTGCAAGCGCCACGTGTTTTCGTATTCGTCCTGAGTAAGCTGAACTTTAATCTTTGGAGATATGGTCCAAATTCCTACAGCAGACCTATTAAAGCTGCACCCTCATGATGGGCCCCTGCTGTTCGTCGGGCAGGCCGTGAACTCGTCGTGCGTAAACTGGACTTTAGGCTAAGGTTATAAGGTCCTAATTCCTTTAGCGTCAGATACCTACCAGAGCTGCACCCTCACGATGGCCCCCTGCTGGTCTTCGGACAGTCCGTGAACTCGTCGTGCGTAAACTGGACTTTAGGCTAAGGGTATAAGGTCCAAATTCCTTTAGCGTCAGATACCTATTACAGCTGCACACGCACGAAGGCACCCTGTTCGTTGGGCAGCCCGTGAATTCGTCGCGCGTCTCGTACTCGTCGTGCGTAAACTGAACTTTAAGCTTTGGAGATACGGTCCAAATTCGTACAGCAGACCTACTAGAGCTGCACCCTCACGATGGGCCCCTGCTGGTCGTCGGGCAGGCCGTGTACTCGCCTCGCGTGTGCGCGCACTTTGTTGGGTTTCTCGAAGCGATGGTCGCAGACGGCGCACAGGTAGCCGTAGCGGCGGCCCGTGTGCGCGTTGTGTTTGTGTATCTGCAGGAACTTGCGGGACTTCAACCTCTTCGGGCACATGTCGCACTGGTCACCGAGAACAAGTTTAAAAGTAATTTATTCATGTAGAACATTTTAGCCGCTTATGAACATCAAATTATAATTTTTTCCCTACCGTCCAGTTCAGTATACAGATTCAATAGAATAGAATAGAAAATCATTTATTCAAATAAACTTAATTTAAGCACTTTTGAATACTCATAACAATTTGTTTTTTATCTACCGCTCGTTCGGAAAGCTGTCTCATCACAAGAAGAACGAGCAAGAAACTTGTGTGTTGCTCTTTTAAATAATCCTTGTAAGTTTACATTTACAAGTCGAAACGTGTGAATACAAACTACCAACAAGCACTAATTTTTTGGGTTAAATATAATCATGCAATAAGATTAAATCAGTCGTAGTGATAAGAGCAGACCAGTCCCTACAAGCAGCACTCGTTCACGAGTATGACGGATGAGATTAGGACGGGAGAGACAATTGAGAAGGACTGGCGAGAAACTCGACTGAATTTCTTTTTGAAGCCAGTTGGTTTATATTGTACGGTTATGTAGTTCTAACATTAAATGAAAATCCCGTGCATGAACGACTATTGCCATGCACGCTCGTCGTTCAAGTAAACGTTTGAATCGAATCGAACAAATTGACTAATTGACAGTAGTCGAGTGGACGTGTGATAGTCCTCAGAAACAAAATGCGACCTTATTATTCATGCAATAACGTAGGTATTTGAACGAAGCATGTACCTGAAAGTTCTTCTACCGTAGGCGTATGAAGATGCGATTCAAATTGCTACCTTAATACACATGCTATTAAGTTATTTTTTTATTGAGATGAAGCGACTACTTGACAGTAATTGGGAGGACGTATCACAGCGTTCAAGTACAAAATGCGACCTTACTAATCATGCAATAAAGTAGGTATTTGTTTGGATCAAATGCGTCCATGAAAGTTCTACCGCAGACGTATGACGATGTTATTTAAATTGCTACCTTAATACACTTGCTATTAAGTTATTTTTTTATTGAAATGACGTGATTACTTGAGAGTATTCGGGTGGTTACATCACAGTACTCAAGTACAAAATGCGACCTTAGCCGTCGTACAATAAAGTTGTAATTAAATTGGATCGAACATGTATCAGAAAGTTCTACCGCAGACGTATGAAGATGCGATTCCAATTGCTACCTTAATACACTTGCTATTAAGTTTCTTTTTGATTTGAAGCGATTACTTGACAGTAATTGAATGGACGTATCACAGTACTCAAGTACAAAATGCGACCTTAGACCTCATGCAATAAAGTTCTTATTTGATTGGATCAAGCGTGTACCTGGAAGTTCTTCTCCGGCAGATGTATAGCAATATGCTGCACCAGGTTAGACCGGCGATGGAAAGTCGCCCCGCAGTGGTCGCACACGTACGGCCGCTCGCCGGTGTGCCGCCGCTCGTGGATCTGAACCGAGAGAATATTTATTATTACACGAATATGTGAATCAAAAACTTTGTTGTTTGTTTGTTGTGTTTTAGGAAGTTGCGCGGACGGTCGAGTATGAAATATCACACACTTATAGTTTATATAGAGAATAGAATAGAAAATTATCACATTGAAGCACTTTTGAATAGTCATGACATTTTCTTTTCAATCTACCGCTCATTCGGAGAGTTGTCTCATCACAAGAAGAACGAGCGAGAAACTTGCGTGTTGCTCTTTTAAATAATTTTATTGTTACTTTACATTTAAGTTTAAGTGTGTGAATACAAACTACCAATTAGCACTAATTCAATTAAATAATCAAATAGAAAAAACATTCAATACACAACAACTGGTTAAACAATTAATAAAAGAAAATAAGTCATAGTGATCAGAGCAGACCAGTCCACACAAGCAGGACCCGTTCACGAGTATGACGGATGAGCCAGCCACCACTGCGCTCGACCATATTTTAGGGAGCCCCATGACCCGGCCCACCACGCCGCCACAAGTCAAATAGAGAAAATATTGAATATACAACAAACTAGTTGAGTAACTAAATAAGAGTAAATGACCACATCATAGCAACTTAAAATTGCCATGTGTATAGTATTCACATCTATATATAACTCAAAAGGTGACTGACATAGTGACATCTATCAACGCACAGCCCAAACCACTGGAGGGATCGGGCTGAAATTTGGTATGCAGGTAGATGTTATGACGTAGGCATCCGCTAAGAAAGGATTTTGATTAATTCTACCCCCAAGGGGATAAAATAGGGGATGAAAGTTTGTATGAAACTTTGTCAATTTTAAACCGATCAGGCTGAGACTTTGCATGCATAAAGTTACTATGACGTAGACAGCCCGTAAGAAAGTGTTTTGATAAATTCCACCCCTAAGGGGATAAATTAACGCGAGTGAAGCCGCGGGCAAAAGCTAGTTTTACATAAGAATACATGCGGTAATCGATACAAAAATAGCTACGCTTTTATATTTCTCAAATAATTACATCAATATCTCCATAAAGCGAGCTGCAGAATGTTATTATTAATGCATTGAAGATAAATAAATTAATAAAAATTGTAATTGTATCGACGTTGTTACGGGTCCACCCGTTCCATATATACACGACACCGTCCTCGCCGGCGAAGACGACGACCTCAAATACATCATACCGCACAACCAGGCTCCAGCGCGCGCCGTGGCGCTCCACACCGGTGCCCCGATCGACCCCCCGTCCAATTCAAACGGGGTCATAATTGCGACGGTTTTAACTCCTAGCGGTGCCTTCAGACTTGAAGTCGTATAAGGCGGGAGTTGGCCTTCAGCCGCTCCATAAGTCCTTCCTTTGGTTTGGAGTACAATCTGCACTCGCGCCTTATCGTCCGGTGAAGCTGTAAAGGCCAGCTGCGGACAGTAGTATTAGAGTAGTACGAGAAAACCGTGCACTGACCGTGAGCGCCTCCTTGGTGGCGGAGCTGTACTCGCAGTACGCGCACTTGTGTATCCGTCCGAGGCCGTGCCGCGCGCGCTTGTGTTCCTGCAGCTGGTTGTTGTTGCGGCATCGCTTGCCGCACGACTGGACAGTTACAATTTTTTTTTAATTAGTATTCCTAGCTAATTTTAGTTCATCCCCTGATCACTAGATGGCGATGTTCAAAACCTTAAATAGCGCTGTCAACATATTTTCACATTTAATGACCTATCTATAAAGATTATTGTTGCGGCACGACTGATTACGACTACGGTTATAACAGATTTTAGTTAATTCACTGCCGATAGATGGCGCTGTTCAAAGCTTTGAATGTTTTTTAAAAATGAGCTGTACAGTTATAACTAATTTTAGTTCCGTCACTGATCACTCCAGACCGATCGTCGTGGAGATCTTTGGGGGAGGCCTATGTCCAGCAGTGGACGTCTTCCGGGCTGCGATGATGATGACGATGACTAATCACTAGATGTCGCTCCTCAAAACTTTAAATAGCTACGTTGAGATTCCTTTCTAATTTTAGTTCACTAATCACTAGATGGCCTTTGGTTAAGATGTTTGTACATTTAATTAATTCTATATATGTAAACTATACAGATAAATAAAATTGAAGTGCGACACTTCTCGCACTACTGTACAGTTAGAACAGCAATTTTTTCTGGCTAATTTTAGTTCATTCTCTGATCACATAGATGGCGCTGTAACGATGTTTTCACATTTAGTTACCTGTCTATAATCGACTATTACAAATTCAAAATCATCATTTGTTAGTCATGATCATCAGTTATGAAATGAAATGAAATTTTATTGCATAAAATGTGGTACATTGGATGTGGTATTTTGAATATTAATATATTGTTCGCACATTTAGTCATTTCTGACATGCAACAGACAATTGTCAATTGAAATATTGTCATTATACATTGCTCATCATTACATACATATATTATTATAATTAATTTATTTATTAGTACTAGTCACTTTTTCACCATTTGTGAAAGGTATTCGTCTATATTATAAAAGCAGTTAGATAACAACCAATTATACAATTCTTTTTTTAATTTGCTTTTATTTAATTGTTTTAACTCCTTTGGCAACTTGTTAAATATTTTTATGGCCATTGGATAACAATTAGAGCTTGCTAGCGTTGAATTTATCAACGGATAATATAATTTAAAGTAATTTATAATTTAAGTTAACATTGTAGTATTGGATGGAAGAAGAAACATTCATTACTAACAGTTAGTAATGAGTATGGTATCTTATAAATTACTGGTGAATTTGTCAGGATGTGATAACTGACCTGACCTCATGCTCATCTTATCATCCTCCACTGGTGCCCCGCCAGCGTAAACCGTTAGCACAGGCAGGTGGACCATTCCATTATCATAGATTTAAAAAAATACATGGATTATCCACACATTACTTACCTCACACATACATGAATAGTGCTTACCTCACACACACAATAATTTGTGTGAAACCTCATATGAGCCTTGAATGTGGCCTTCATCCTGAACTCCTTGTTGCATGTGGAACATTTGTATGAAGCTGCGTTTGGAATCATACAACGCTTCTTGGGCCCTGGAGTTTGTTTCTGGAAAGTATGATATACGATTACGAGTTAGCTGTACTGACACACTTCCTGGTGTTTCTGAAGGGTGAACAGACTCCCCTGGTGTTGAGAAACACTGGTCAAGATAGTCTGTTAAGTTACAGCTATTTCGTAAGAGGCCTACCTGTTTAAATTTAGGCTTCACATCTTTCTTCACTAAATCATTAAAATCATTATTCACAACAGCATTCTCATAGTCATCGTAATGATTATGACAATCGTCATTCTGGAAATCATTATCATAGAAACCACAATCGAATTCTTCGTTTTTCACTTCCATTTTCGTATTTGTCAGTTTCGTTCTTTTTAGAACTCTCTTCTGTAGTCTGGTATTGTATTTCCTTTTTGATTTCCGACCTGACAGCATGTTTAATAGCGCTTTCTCTGATTTCCTGCAAATTCTTCTGAACTGTAACGCTGTATTCATTATTTCTATGCATTTTGCGCACATTTTTTGTGATAAACCATCGTCCATTTTGATCTGCAATTCAATCAATAATAGTATTATCAATATGTACATATAAATAAAATTGGAGTGTCTGTTTGTAATAACATTTTTTACAATTTTTGTGTCTGTCTGTTTGTTCCGGCTAATCTCTGAAATGGCTGGACCGATATTGACTGAAATTTTTTGGGAGGTAGCTTTAACCTAACTTAGGCTACTTTTATTTTAGAAAATTTTTTAATAAATTCCATGCAGACGAAGTCGCATGTACAGCTAGTTGGTAGTTCATATTCAAATATTTCAACTTAAAATTTTAAAATTAGAACAATTATTTAAAAACACTAACTACAAGTTTTTTTTTATTCTTCTAATGATGAGACAGTTTTCCGAATATATGGTAAATAAAAAAAAAATAACTATGACTATTCAAAAGTGCTTAAATAAACTTAATTATTTGAATAAAGAATTTTCTATTCCAGTCATAATCACGTAGACTAGGCTGTACGGTCTAAGGATCTTTGCCTGTTCCATTGAAAAGGAGATGGACGAATATGAAAAAAAAATATATAGTCATAATCAAGTTATCTAGGGATGGTTGATAGGGCAAAGAGATTCGCCCTGAGGCTCCAACCTTCACCCCCAGGGGGGCGCGGATGACCAATATCAGTCAGAAAAATAACCTAAGTTACAAATTTCAGTCATAAATTGATATTGCAGCGGTTGAAAACAATTAAAACTTACGTTTAAACCAGTGACTACCTTCAGGTCCTCAGTCCGTTTTTTCTCCGTATCTTTGTTTATAAATATAGACACTAGATCCTGGGTACTCAGACAAGTCCGACAGTGCACCATCACAGGCATCTTCTTTTCATTTCTAGCAGGTTTCACTGGTTTTTGTCTACTAGCATTGCGTCGTTTCATTGTGATGTTGTTTAATAATAATAAGGCGAGCATTTTCGCTGATTTGTCGATTATATATCATTTAATTATTAATTAAAACTAATTTATATAATTAATCATTTAGTACTAATAGTATTTACATTGCAAATCTGAGTTTGAGAATAATAAAAACAATAAACATTAAAAATGCTCGGTTGCTACACAGAATTTGTTTGACAACATCGACAGATTGTTTGACAGTGATGTGGGAATATTGACAACTAAAATGACATTTGTTACTGCACAGGTTACTTTTATTGTATTGGGCAAGACATGTTCTCCATCTACGGTATGAGTCGATTTTAGGACTATGAGTACTACGTGAGGTACTTTTACACTTTATTTATATGTAAGATGATACAGATATCTACATAAACTTGACGAACAAACAAAAAATATTAGATATGTTAAAAAGTATTTTGAATGATAACAAATGCACTTGGAATCCTAATGATACGGGTGCTTATGGGCAGCGTACTTGTTTTTATCATTGTTCATGACTTAATCAACAGGTGAGCCGCAAACTCGTTTGTCCCTATTATAGTTTATGTTATAAAAACTTACATATTTAATTTAAATTACTAATGACTTTTTATAAAGGAAACATCGATTAAAATTGAACCGTTACACTTCAAACATGTGTTCATAAAAAATGCGGGCGAAATGAGGTGGTAGTAAAAGATGGTATAATTTAATTATTATTTTATTTAATATCTTTGTTTCCGTGGTAAGAAATAAATGGTACTGGATTTTCTCTGCTTATTTCCACGCCCTTTTCAAAATTGAAGATATATAGGCATCTCAAAAATATCACAGAATTATATAATTCTTTTGAAGAATGCTGCTGTTCGGTCAGCATGCTACAGATGCAGGAGATAAGTTTCGTTTATATTTGGCGGGAGATTTTCTTCACTAATCTGTGGTTTTACCTAAAAAAATATAAATATTTTAGCATCTGCGGGATTAGTTTTTATGTCTTATAATATTTAATTATTAATATTTCGGATAACTGTTTTGCTGTTGGATAGCATATATATCAAGGAACACTATAAGCTATAACATTATGCTACGACCAATAGGAAGAAAGAAAAGAAAGACAGAAAGCTGCAATGAAAAAATGTTGCTAAAACAGGTAAAATGTGACGCAGTCAAAGTTACGTCCGGTCAACTAGTCTGGTAATAAAGCCAAAAACGACCAGAGACAAATCTCAAGATGTTTAAAAGATATAGAAATAATCTTTATTCAAATGAACTTAATATAAGCACTTTTGAATAGTCATATTTATTACTGGCTGTTCCCGCGACTTCGTCCGCGTGGAAATAAACTTTATTTTTCTAAAATAAAAGTAGCCGAAGTTACTCCTTATTACAGCTACCTGCCAAAAAAATTCCAAAAAAAATTAGCCGGTACAAACAGACAGACAGAAATTGTAAAAAATGTTATTCTGGTGTATGTACCGTATTTATATTCATATGCATGTAGAAAAAAACGGTTATTTCAATATTACAAATAGACACTCCAATTTTATTTATATGTATATATTTTGATATATTCCAGATTGAAATTAATGATGGTATGCCCCAACAACTCTGTACCAAATGTGTGGACTTCATAAATCAATATTTGGACTTCAGAGACACAGTTAATTTTAAACTTTCGTGTTTAATATACATGTTTAATAGAGGTAAATACCTTTATTTACCATAAAATTATTCGTGTTAAGACCCGGTTAATAATTCAGAGACACATCCCAACAAGCATATAAAACTCTATCCGAGAAATTAAGCTGTACCAATAACGACGCAGATTCATCACAAGAAGAATAAACAAGCTACTTGCGTGTTGCTCTTTTGAATAAACGTTCTTTCAAATAACAATAGGTGATCTCGGACCGTGCGATTTCAGAGGAGCCTTCTCCGGCGTACAGTTACATTAAAATAGTAAATATATATAATCTGATACAAAAGTCGGTTTTATCGCTAAGAAATCTCTTCCAGACTACCTTTGGGTGGATAGAGAAAGGAAAAATAAGAAATAAAAGAGAAAATAAAAAAGAAAAACATTATCATTCATATGACTAACCAGAATCTTGTCTATGACTCCCTGCTCGTGCCTGGCGACCCCGTGACTTCTGGTCAGGTGCTGCCGAACTGTTCCTGGACTCCTGAACACATCCTGGCAGACAGGGCAGAGGTATCTGTAGCGCTTCTGCCTGTGCACCTTGAAATGGTGATGCTGGAGCAGACGCTTCGACTTCTCCCGCTTGTGGCAGATGGAACACTGTGGAACATACGTTTCTTTTATTATTTATCATTACATATAATAAAACAAAGTCGCTGTCGCTGTCTGTCCGTCCCTATGTATGCTTAAATCTTTAAAACTGCGCAATGGATTTTGGAGCGTTTTTTTTAATAAATAGTGATGGCCGGCCGCCGCAACCTCTTTTGATACTTTTTTTTATTTTTAAATCTATATTTTTAGAACAGTTCTTTTTATATGTCATGTTATTTTATACTTCAATTTATTGTATTATTCTATTATTGTCTTTTGATAGTTTCGCAACTGCACATAATAATATATTATATTATTGCAAACTAAGTGTTTTCATCATTTAGACACCCATACAGTCCACCGATCTATTACAAATAGAGTAATTCAAGAGGAAGGTTTATATATATAATACATGTACACCCGGGCGAAGCCGCGGCGAGTAACTAGTCTTATATATATAATTCTCAAGTCATGTTTTATGAAATTATATATGCATATTCAGTAGGTCTGAGAATCAGCTACTATCTATTTATCATACCCTTAAATAACGAGGGTTGTCCACCCCTAACATTTTTTTTTAGGTCAAAAATTAATTTTATAATGTGGTATTAAAAATACCCTATATTTTCACCCTTCTCTCACCAACCCCTATTTTTAATAGCGATTTTAATTCACTACTTGATGGTGTTGGGTTCGATTCCTCGCACGCAACATTCATTATTTTCTATTCACGAGTATGACTATTTGTATGGTAAGAAAAACAAGCGACACCATGGTATAGCTTGTTTTTTTACCATTTACCATGTAAGAGCAGTTGGACTTACCTGGAAGTTGCTCTCTGGAAGGTGTATGGGTAGATGTTGTATGAGGTTGGACCTGCGATGGAAGGCCAGGCCGCAGTGGTCACACATGTATGGCTTCTCGCCAGTATGCCTCCGCTCATGTACCTAGTAAAACACATACATTTATATATATATATACTAGCTGTACTCGCGACTTTTATATATTTAAAATTTCTGCCATCGATACTTATCTATACATATAAATAAAATTGTAGTGTCTGTTTAATGTAATATTGAAATAACCGTTTTTTACTACATGCATATGAATATAAATACGGTACATACACCAAAATAACATATTTCAAAATTTTTGTCTGTCTGTCTGTTCCGGCTAATCTCTGAAATGGCTGGACCGATTTTGACGGGACTTTTTTTGGCAGGTAGCTGATGTAATAAGGAGTAACTTAGGCTACTTTTATTTTAGAAAAAATATTTTATTATAGAAATATAAACTTAAATTTCACGCAGACAAAGTCGCGGGAACAGCTAGTTTCATATAAGTGTAATGCAGGCGAATTTGCGCGGTTCACTAGTATATATCCTATTGTATTATAAAAACCGTTTATATGCCATTTAAAAATGAGCCCTATTCATATAGAGCGAGATTCTTATCTTGCCGTAACACAGTTATCTAACTAGCACGGGAGGTAATAATTTTTAACTGTATGACCCTCAACAATATTTGTTTTGTTTTATATAGTTTATACAATGTTTTTTTTTGTGGAAAATAAACACGTATTTGCTGCATGGGAAACTAAAATGGATGCGATAGGTGTTTTTTGTGACCTTTCTAAGGCTTTTGATTGCGTTGATCATAATACATTGCTAAAAAAACTTGCTTTTTATGGCGTCAAAGACCATGCTTTAAATTTAATAAAATCTTATCTATCTGATAGAATACAGAAAGTGAAGGTTAGCAACGCTACGTCTGACGGGTCACTTGTGCAAATGGGTGTACCTCAAGGATCTATTCTCGGTCCATTTTTATTCCTAGTTTACATTAATGATCTCCCATATACCATGCAGGATAGATGCGGCATAGTATTATTTGCAGACGATACTTCATTGATTTTTAAAGTTAATAGAATGACTAATAATTATGACGATGTAAATAGTGCTTTGCGGCGTCTCCTGCACTGGTTTACAACTAACAATCTTATGTTAAACGCTAAAAAAACAAAATGTGTTAATTTCTCTCTGTCTAAAAGTTTTAATACTAATTGCAATATTAAATTAAATGACGAATCTCTCGAATTTATAGAATCTACTGTCTTTCTAGGAATCACACTAGATAATAAAACACAATGGGGTGCACAAATTCAAAGCCTTGCAGCGAAACTAAGTTCAGCAGCTTTTGCCGTGCGTAAGGTTAGACAGTACACTGATACTGATACTGCTAGATTAGTCTATTTTAGTTATTTTCATAGTTTACTCTCTTATGGAATATTACTATGGGGAAAAGCGGCAGATATTAAAAATATATTCATATTACAAAAACGTGCCGTTCGAGCGATCTACTGTATGAAGAGTCGTGACTCATTAAGAGAGAAATTCAAAGAGGCAAATATTCTCACCGTTGCTTCTCAATTTATATATTCAAATATCCTATATGTTCATAAAAATCTTGACTTATTTCCAAAAAACAGCAATATTCATAATATTAATACAAGATTTAAAGACAAACTTGCTGTCCCCAAGTATCGTTTAGAAAAAGTTAATAGGTCTTTTATGGGAATAGGTATAAAAATTTACAATAAGATACCAAAGGATATGTTGGAATTACCCTTAAATAAATTCAAAACATCTGTTAAATCATATTTACTGAGCAAAGCCTATTACTCACTAAACGATTACTTGAATGACGAGTGTGCATGGCAATAGTTGTTCATGCACTGAATTTTCATTTAATGTTAGACATAGACACCTATATAAATATACATTGTAAATAAACTGGCTTTTAAAAAAAAAGTAATTCAATTGAGTTTCTTGCCAGTTCTTCTCAATTGGATCTATATACCGAACTGGACGGTAGGGAAAAAAATAAAATTATAATGTAAAAATTTGACGTTCATAAGCGGCTAAAATGTCCTACATGAATAAATGATTTTTGAATTTGAATTTGAATTTGAAACATTATTATTATTATTATTATATATATTTGACGATGCACTAAACAATTACTTAAGTGACAAACGTGCATGGCAATAGTGGTTAAAATCAGGGATGTTATGGATATGAAATTTCGGATACGGATAGGTTTCGGATATAGGAATGATTATTATACCGGATACGGATACGGATATGAAATTATTTCTGATTATCCGTTAGTTTCGGATAAATTATCCGGTTAAGGATATTATTTTTTTAAGAAATTTAAAAAGTATAATACAAATAGTTAATGAAATGGTTACATTTAGGTTATTTGATTTGATAACAGGTGATTTTTTCGATCACTAAACGATTACTTGAATGACGAGCGTGCATGGCAATAGTTGTTCATGTTCGGGATTTTCATTTAATGTTAGACATAGACACCTATATAAATATACATTGTAAATAAACTGGCTTTAAAAAAAAAGTAATTCAATTGAGTTTTTTGCCAGTTCTTCTCAATTGGATCTATATACCGAACTGGATGGTAGGGAAAAAATTAAAGTTATAATGTAATAATTCGACGTTCATAAGCGGCTAAAATGTCCTACATGAATATATGATTTTTGATTTGATAACAGGTGATTTTTGATTTGATTTGATTAGATAGCAGGGTGAATATAATTGCTTCCTTTGTCACTAGACTCACCACTAAGGCTTCCCTAGTGGCGGAGCTATAGTCACAGTATGTACACAGGTGCACCCGCTCGAGGCCGTGCCGGGCGCGCTTGTGAGCTACTAACAGGTGCTCGTTGAGGAACTTCCTGCCGCATACCTGTTAAATAAAAAAAAAATAAGATTTGTTTTTTTTAAGTTTTGTTTTTTTATATCCTGGGGTCCAGTGGTGGTGTTAGATGTCGGCGAAATTTGGATTCTTTTTTCCCAGTCAAGAAACCGTTAAATATAGTTAGTTACATAAGTTTTATAGTTATAGTTACACTAATGTATAATCGACGGCAACAGCGAGTACGATCTTAATTCTTACATAAATATTTGTTACTATTAAGTATTTATAAGAAATATATTATAAATATATATATTTTTTCTTTTTGAGTATTTAATTGAATTAGTGCTAATTGGTGGTTTGTATTCACACACTTAAACTTAAAAATGTAAAGTAATAATAAAATTATTTAAAAGAGCAACACGCAAGTTTCTTGCTCGTTCTTCTTGTGATGAGACAGCTTTCCGAACGAGCGGTAGATAAAAAACAAATTGTTATGACTATTCAAAAGTGCTTCAATGTAAGTTTATTTGAATAAATGATTTTCTATTCTATTCTATTAAAAAGCTTAAAAGACACTATTTTTTATTGAGATAATTTTTATAGATAGAATAATGATAGTATTTATAATGTTTGTTGCTAAGTAACAGCTCGCTAAGAAGTATGTATACTTCTTCACAGTTACGCTTATTCTTCTTTGTAGGTTCCTCAAGACTGAGGGTCGTGACCACCAGGAATGCTCCTTCCAACCAATACTCTCCAGGCATTTGTTACGCAACTGTATGTAAATTAAGGCGACGCATCGCAAATATCGACCTCAGAAACCTTAATTTTTCTCAGCAATTACAAATCCTTCGGGGCTGATATTTAGGTATTTCATTTTTCAGATCTTTGACATCATATTGACAGTTCTCGTTATATGATTGATTAACTTTTGTAGCAGAGAAAAGATCTCAAAGATTTGTCTTATATATTTTTGATTCGTATAAGAAAACGGGACTGATTTAAGACTCGTATTTTCCAATATACTTGCTTTAAATTTGACGTGGTCATTATTTATACGTATAATTAGTAAAAATCACGGGATATATATATTTATTTACTGAGTTCCCGATATTTCGGCACTGCCTTCAACCGCCATGATCACCATGTGGCACCACGTGGTCTTCCCACGCTGCGTCTCCCGGTCCGCGGTCGCCACTCGAGGATTTTACTGCCCCAACGGCCATCTGTCCTAAGAGCTATGTGCCCTGCCCATTGCCACTTCACTCTCGCAATTTTTCGGGCTATGATAGCTCATCCGTCATACTCGTGACCGGGTGCTGCTTGTGGGGACTGGTCCGTTCGGGTTACGACCACTGATTAGACTTTTTGCTTTTGCAATAGCACATGCTGGTGGTCACTCTATTCTCCCAAATTTGAACTTAAAAATGAATCTGTATTATTGTAAACATGTACAACATTTATTCTGCCACTTCAGAGTCGCAATTCTTCAGGCATTTATTTGAATATAGATTATTTATATTTCTTACCTCACAAACACAATAGTTTGTATGGCTGTGTATGTGCGCGCGCAGCGTGTATTTACTCTTGTACTCCTTCTCGCACATGTTACATTTATACCTCCCATTCTCAGATATTACAGTTGGGTACATCTGTTTCGACTTCTGTAATTAAATAAACATACTTAAAGGATTTGCTATTTAAAAAAGAATATTATAATGTAAGCGAATATTTAATAATAATAATAATAATCTCAGGACAATTCACACAGCGCCATCTAGACCCAAGTTAAGCTAGCTAAAGCTTGTGTTATGGGTACTAGATAACTGATACATATACATAGATATTTTTTTTTGTAAATACATACATATTATACATAGAAAACACCCAGACCGATACAAACAATCATACTCATGGATACAAATGTTTGTGCCGTGCGAGGAATCGAACCCGCGACCATCGGTCGTAAAGCGGTGTGCTAGACCGCTAGACCACCGAGGCCGTCAAAATAAAATATTTATGGAAAAAAAAATTATCTATGTATTTGTATCAGTTATCTGGTACCCATAATACAAGCTTTAGCTAGCTTAACTTGAGTCTAGATGGCGCTGTGTGAATTGTCCTGAGATTATTATTATTATTATTATTTTGCCAAAGGGGGCCATCCGCTCCATTTGCGGTATGGGTTCCAGGGAGTCTTTGCGTGAGTGCTTTAAAGAATCGAATATCCTCACCGTTGCTTCTCAATACATCTACGAAAATATTATGTATGCCAGGAAAAACATTAACAGTTTTAAAAAAGTAGGTGATTACACTAATAAAAGCTTACGTAATGTCAACAAACTAGTTTTACCTAAGTGCCGTTTGACGAAAGTCAGTAATTCGTTTTATGGAAATTGCGTAAGGTTTTACAACAAACTCCCAGAGTCTGTACTCAATTTGCCAGAAAAAAAATTCAAATGTGTCATAAAATATTTTCTTTGTAAAAAAGCTTATTATAAAATTGAAGAATTTATAAATGATAATAATGTTTTTATAGAAAAGCACTGACAATGTTATCTGATTGAACAGAGATTAAGTGCGTAGCGGTTTCTATGTTGATTGTCGCATGCCTAATCCTTGTTGTTAATTAAATATAAGTAAATCAATATTTATTTAAAAGAGCAACACACAAGTTTCTTGCTTATTTTTCTTGTGATCAATCTGCATTCCGAATAAGCGGTAGAATAAAAAAAACTTGACTATTCATAAGTGCTTATATTAAGTTTATTTGAATAAAGATTATTTCTATTTCTATTTCTATTTCTAATGCAAAAAATTGTAATACAGTTAAACGGCTACTAAATAAAATGCAAAAAATATATTACCTTGAGAAACTTTTCAATGAGTCCCTGCTTATTAACTTTCACATAGTTATGATCATTGTGCATTTCATTATGATACAACCCATAATCAAACCCTATACCCTCAGCTACATCCTCTGCTGGTGTACTTCTAACAATCATGGGCGATTTCTTTATAGGCAGCATACTTAATAATTTCTTCTGTGCATTTATACTCTTGATTCTGAACTGTAGGGATATATTCATTATTTCTATACACTGTGCACATATTTTCTGAGGCAGACCATCATCCATTTTTATCTGAAAATAAATTGAGACATCCCTATGATTGAAATAGATATAGAAATGGAAATAATCTTTATTCAAATATACTCATTACAAGCACTGAAATAGATATAGAAATAGAAATAATGTTCATTCAAATAAACTCAGTACAAGCACTTTTGAATAGTCATATTTTGATTCTACCACTCATTCAGAACAGATTCATCACAAGATGAATAAGCAAGAAGCTTGTTTGTTGCTCTTTTTAATAGATGTTTTTTTTTATACAATAATTACAGTATAACAAGTAAGAGGCATGCGATAATCAACTTAGAAACCATTACACACTCATTTTTAGTGCACATGCTGCTTGTAGGGACTGTTCAGTTTCATTTATTTATTTATAATTGCATATACATATAATTTACATATTATAAATTAACAATACACACATGGTCTCTGTTTGAAGAGTGTAGCAATTTCGTAGATGACTCTTTCCATATTTTAGTCTGTCAGTTTGTTAGGACGAAATTGAAATCTACTTAGCTCGTACAGTATGTCAGCTAAAAATTCTTTTATAGTATAATATAGTATATGTTTTTGCAGTCAATAAATCTTTGAGCCTTTTTTTAAATATATAAATATCATTACTAGATTATTTTCTTTTGAAACACAATAGCATATGCTGGTGGTCACTATATTCTCCCTAATTTAAAAATATATCTATATTTTTGTAATCATGTACAAGCTCATTTGAATACAATAAGAGCTGAATTTCTTGATAATTCTTCTTAGTTTGAAAGCACTCTGAATTGGTAGATCTAAATATAGCTCAATATAACTCAAAGGTGACTGACCGACATAGTGATCTATCAATGCACAGTCCAAACCACTGGACAGATCTGGCTGAAATTTGGCACGCAGGTAGATGTTATGATGTAGGCATCCCCTAAGAAAGGATTTTGATTAATTCTACCCCCAAGGCGATGAAAGTTTGTATGAAACTTTGTCAATTTAAAACCGATCGGACTGAGAGCTTGCATGCATAAAGCTACTATGACGTAGGCATCCCCTAAGAAAGGATTTTAATAAATTTCACCCTTAACGGGATACATTAACGCGAGCGAAGCCGCAGGCAAAAGCGCCGCAGGCAAAAGGTAGTAAAGAAGAAAGAAACGTTATAAATACCTCTAATCCAGTAAGTATCCTCAAATCCTCCGTTCTTCTTCTCTCTGTTTCTTTATTATAGAAGATAGACATTAAATCAACAGTGCTTAAACACGTCCTGCACATTTCAAGTATATCATTAGTTGATTTTTTTTCTTTTTTCATTTTTCGTTCTTTTCTATAGGCGCGGGAATCCAGATGCCTACTACTCATACGGTTTAATAATAAAACAGCAAGCATTTGCTAAGCAGAATTTACGTATGTTATATTAACTTTTTATTAGAAACACCGAAGGAAAATTAGGTATAGGTTATGTTGTGATTCTTTCAGTTACCCAATGCGTAAAATAAAATTATCGATTCTACCTGGTTATGAAAATGTATATTTACAGCTACATAAATTGCTTTAAGATTAAATACAAATAATTGTAGTATTTGCAGAACTTTTGGTTTTTGTTTTGTTTTCGTTATGTTAATTTGTAAATATTATGAAAATTGAAATGACAAGTATATAGTCAGCCATCTGTCAGTGTCAGTTGGACATTCTAAGCACGTAATCACTATGCTAGATCATTTTTTAATTTAAGTTTATAATATGGTGCAGATGGATGCACTGCGCTAACGTGGCACTAATATAGGATGGGATGAGAAAATGCACTAGGAATTTATCAAGATGGTTTCCAGGGGCCACCGCGTTGAGATCAACCAGACATTGTACATTGCTAGTAATGGTTTCATTAGTCTATATTACTAACAGTCCTAAATTAATATTTAAATATAAATAAAAAAATTAAAAGGACGTTTTCCAGGGGGAAACGTATGGAGGTAAACTTACTATTATACATTGCAAGCAATTAAGTCATCAATCCGCATTACTAACAATCCCTTTACCTCCCTTCAGTTTACATTGCTAGCAAGGTCCACTTTCATGCGGTCACCTCTGTAAGAAATTGTCCTGATACTTTCTCTAGTAGTGGCTGACCCAACTTCATTCTCATCCTATCTTCCACTGGTGGCATCTGCTACTGGTAGGTAGCTCGCTCGGACACACCATTTTCCATCAATAAAATAATGACAATGCATGAAACTACCAGGACAACATAAGTTACATGTAGTACAAAGTTTGTAATAATTACCAAACAAGCCGAGGGCTCTCTTTAGGCGGTAACTGTGTCCTATATACAGAACAGCACTACCAACATCATGCGATCAGTATTACCAAATGCGTTGCACTTTTCTTGCAATACCTGACCTGAGAGATGCTCTAAGGATCTATACTATCTGTGTACCAAATTTCATTTAAATCGGTTCAGTAGACGTACTCTTGTTAATAACCATTTACTCTATCGCTAACAATGTACCAAGTCAGCTTGACCACGCGGTTTCCTATCGTGATAAATTCCTAGTGAATTTGCCACTATGGGCCAACTGATCTGACCTTATGCTCTTCCTGTCCTCCACTGGTGCCCCACCAGTCTTATCCTGTAATTTCATCACTAAGCAAGGTGGTGAAACGGCCTACCTACTCATTGAAATAGAGACTGAGGTACCTATAATACTTAATGTTAGAGGTTAAAATAATACTCAATTGCTTACTTTACTGTATTGATACTGAAATTGCATTGATGTTACAAGTATAAATTGATTCACAAATTTCTGAACGTACTGTGTTCTAAAATCTACCATGGCTAGATATCTTCGGCAAATCCTTGGGTTCATTTATGGACATCAAATAAAGCCATTTTAACGACATCAATGGTGCATCTCTCGTCTGCTTGTGTGTTAATCTGGACTTCCTAACTGGTAATTGATTATCTGCCGTCATTTTCAAAGTGTTGCTTGGTAATGACAGGGTAGGATTAAGTTTGCTACATAATTTGCTTATGGAATCAACATCCTGTTCTGAGGAAGATCTCTTGTGATTATGCTTCAAATCTTTGTCCACATTCAGATTAGCGATAGTAGAGTAGTAGCATGCTAGAGTTGTGTTGACTGGTGGAAGATTTCGGCCGTGAAGGTTAGGTTTTGGTTTATTGAAGGGGTACGTACGAACCAAATTGGGGTTGACGTCGTGAGACGCAGGAGCCGGGGGTAAAGATCTGGGTGTGAGGATTTCCGGGCAAGCACCGCCAGTTTGGCTCTTTGTGCTGGCTGTCCTCGAGGCTCGGCAAGCGGGACAGAAGCAGGTCGGATTCGTATCTTTGAATGAAAGCGGGGGTACTATACAGCATTTGGGGCAAGGATCTACTGATCCGGAGGATCCTGTAGGGCTTGGCTTTATGGGGCCGCATACAGGGAAGGATGGACATGGACAGTTGTAGCAGGGGCCGAGGAAAGGACCACAAAGGGGGCTGCATGGACTGCAGCCGCTAGGACCGCAAGGGCCGCAAGGGCCGCAAGGACCACAAGGGCCGCAAGGACTACAAGGACCAGACCCGCATGGACCGCAAGGACCGCATGGTGCACATGTACCACATGGACCACATGGACCATAGCCACATGGACCGCATGGACCGCATGGACTGCATGGACCGCATGGACCACATGGGCCACATGGGCCACAGCCACAAGGACCGCATGGACCACATGGACCACAGGGACCACAAGGACCGCATGGACTGCATGGACCACAAGGACCACATCCACAAGGACCACAAGGACCACATCCACAAGGACCACAAGGACCACATGGTCCACAAGGTCCACATGGTCCACAAGGCCCGCATGGTCCAATACCACATGGGCCGCATGGACCGCCCACGTTCGGCGGGTTAGGACCACACGGTCCACCAGGAGTGACGGTGCCCGCACATCCACAAGGCCCAGTCTGAATGTGATACGGCCCACAGAACCAGAACCCATAAGGATAATAGTAGTAACCGGTCATATATTGAATGCACCGCGCTGGAGTATTGCAGGGAGCGGGCAGACGGCACGCGCATGGTGTTGGGCAGCCGCATATACTGCAAAGTTCCTTGATAGTATCAACAGCGCTCGGTTTTCCTTCTGAAGGGTTAGAATCCACAGATGGTGTAAATGCTGCACTTTGGATTGGATAACAGAAATGATTATGGTAGATAGGATAGTTTTGGTTGGGGAAGACGGCCGATTGCGTCCGGGGTAAGTATTCGTAGGGTATCTCTGCTTGAGTTTGAGACGCGTCTCGTTGGTGATATAAGAAGCAAGGGCAAGACATACTCTTGTACAGCGAGCTGGAGGTCTGCGCCGGTTTCTCTGGCTCCGGCGGGAGTTCCTTCACTCTCAGCAGCGGCATGTCAAGAAAGGCTTTATTTAGATGCTCTCGCAAGCCCATCTTCTTGGTGCCATTTGCTGAAACGACGAGCGGTACTGTAATCACAATCCTAACATATTTGGAAAGGGACAGGTAGAGTCAATAAAATCATGTAATCGGTTATAGTTTATTGGTTTTAACGATTTCAAAATGCTTAACTTATTACAAGATTATGGTACAAAATATGTGTTTGCTATTATATTTCAAGTCACTTTATATTTACTTTATAGTTAGGGTAATATATATTTAGGTGAAAGTGAATAATTTATGATTCAAATAGTCATTTAAATTCTGTTATTCTTGGTTGGGGGTTCCTGCAACGTGGTACAGAACTGTAGCTCTGCCGGTTTCAATCTGGCATTAGCCTGTTCCTGCCTGGTCATGATCTCTCTGGGTACTACTGCGGGATATAGTTCGTAAATATACCGTTTCGGTCTCTTATGGTGAATGGGACTTCTAGTGCCTTTAAGTTTGTAGTTATCAGAATATTTCGTAAATGTGGTTGATGATATTTTAGCCGTTGGGGTGGAATGACTTTTGACTGGCTTTTGAGAAACTAAGCTTTGAGTACCATTGAGTGACGCTGAATGTTTAGTGTGAAAAGCCTCTAAAGGGCTGTAAAAGAATATATCGGGCTCATATTTAGGCTGAGCTTTGGTACTGTAAGGGCAAAATAAGGAAGCCATAGTTGGTGTGCTTGGTTTCTTAGGGTCACTACTATTGACAGAACCAGGCGTCATTGTGGAATTGAACGGGAAATATCTAGATATGCCAGCACGACTATCTTTAGAAGCTTCTTGGGAGAGAGGACACTTGATGTGGTTCGGTGGAACTACGCCCGACTTAGTTTGTGCTTTAGCTTGCGCGCCAAAGACTGCTGTAGTGGCTGGACAGACGCAACAGGGTCCGCATTTTCCGCATGGACCGCATGGGCCACAAGGACCGCATGGGCCGCATGGGCGGCATGGTCCGCATGGACCGCAGGGCCCACATGCCCCACATGGCCCACAAGCCCCACATGGTCCACATGGTCCACACCCACCGCAAGGACCAACAGGACAGCAAGTGCCCGCAACATGATATGGTCCACAAAACCAAAAACCGTACGGGTAGTAGTAGTACCCGGTCATGTATTGAATGCAACGTGGTGGAGTATTGCAGGGAGGAGGGAGGCAGCCGCAGCCACAAGGACCGCCACAAGGACCGCATGGGATAGGACAGGGGCAGCCACAAACGCAGGGCTTCGAGTAGGGTCGTTTTGACAGGACTTGAGGGAGGTTAGATTCTAAAAGACCAGTCAGGAAAGAAAAAGGAGATTGCGTATATTTCTTAGGGTAGCTGGAATCGGTGAAAACAGGCTTAGTTCTAGGAGGGCTGAGGTGTCTTAGAGGCAGGCGGGGCCTCGCTCTCGTTTCCGGCACGAGATTCGGACACGAGACGCAGAATCGCATTGATGGAGTCTTGCTGGGGCCGGCGCGGCTCAACGACGACAGCTGCCGCGACTTCCCGATCTTCGCGTACCCGAGGGGCACAGCCCAGGCCTCTCTCGCGCTTCGGGCCAGCACTGCCTTCGCTGTAAAGGGATGTTATGCTATTGACCTCGATTAAAATTCGTCAACTCTCAGGATCAGAACTTACGACTACCAAATAAAAATCAATAATAAATATAAACATTTATTGAAAAATACATCCAAATACAAATAAAAGTGTGTAATAAATATAAGCAAGAAATTTCAGCCTAAACAATCATTGTCACGAAACCGTCATGGCGTTATTTTCACCGCACCCGCAGCGGATATGCGCGAAGGCATTTTCTTGTCATCCTTTTTACACTCCTCTGGTTTCATCGGCATTGCCATGGGCTGACCCCCGCACATGGGGCACGTGCCCTCGCACTTCTTCGGCTTCGGGCACGGACACGGACACGGGCAGGGGCACGGGCAGCACGGGCCGCATGGGCCGCATGGGCCGCACGGGCAGGGGCATCGACACGGTCCGCATGGGCCACAAGGGCCGCATGGACCGCATGGGCCGCATGGCCCACATGGTCCGCACGGACCACAGGGACCACACGGTCCACAGGGACCACAGGGACCGCATGGGCCGCACGGTCCGCACGGATAAGGGCACCGACAGGGTCCGCATGGACCGCACGGAAATGAACAGGGACCGTAGGGCCCGCATGGGCCGCAAGGTCCGCATGGGCCGCACGGACAGCCACACGTGGGGCACATCTCCTTTTTCTCATCCTCTTTCTTCTCAGCATACGACCGTATCGAGCCGCGCTGGTCTCCGCTGCAGAGGAGGGTCCTCATCCCGGTGGGGTTGGAAGCCGACGTCGCGTACGGTGCTGAAAAGGACATCCAAGCTTAATACTCGGCCAGTACTGGTCTGCGCATGCTATTGAGAAGAACGACGGCGCTCCGCTCGCCGGCCGAGTATTAAAGCCTGGAGTCCGTAGCTGGCGACCACCGTTCTCCAAAATAACACGCGATACACAGCCGGTTTTAAATATCCAAATAATAAATAAATTAGTACGGGTCAAAGTAACTTCAATTATTAATGAATTAGTACGGGTGAAAGTAACTTCAATTATTAATAAATTAGTACGGGTCAAAGTAACTTCAATTATTAATAAATTAGTACGGGTCAAAGTAACTTCAATAATTAATAAATTAGTACGGGTCAAAGTAACTTCAATTATTAATAAATTAGTACGGGTCAAAGTAACTTCAATTATTAATAAATTAGTACGGGTCAAAGTAACTTCAATTATTAATAAATTAGTACGGGTGAAAGTAACTTCAATTATTAATAAATTAGTACGGGTGAAAGTAACTTCAATTATTAATAAATTAGTACGGGTCAAAGTAACTTCAATTATTAATGAATTAGTACGGGTCAAAGTAACTTCAATTATTAATGAATTAGTACGGGTCAAAGTAACTTCAATTATTAATGAATTAGTACGGGTCAAAGTAACTTCAATTATTAATAAATTAGTACGGGCCAAAGTAACTTCAATTATTAATAAATTAGTACGGGTGAAAGTAACTTCAATTATTAATGAATTAGTACGGGTCAAAGTAACTTCAATTATTAATAAATTAGTACGGGTCAAAGTAACTTCAATTATTAATGAATTAGTACGGGTCAAAGTAACTTCAATTATTAATGAATTAGTACGGGTCAAAGTAACTTCAATTCCATAATTAATAAATTAGTACGGGTCAAAGTAACTTCAATTATTAATAAATTAGTACGGGTCAAAGTAACTTCAATTCCATAATTAATAAATTAGTACGGGTGAAAGTAACTTCAATTATTAATGAATTAGTACGGGTCAAAGTAACTTCAATTATTAATAAATTAGTACGGGTCAAAGTAACTTCAATTATTAATGAATTAGTACGGGTCAAAGTAACTTCAATTCCATAATTAATAAATTAGTACGGGTCAAAGTAACTTCAATTATTAATAAATTAGTACGGGTCAAAGTAACTTCAATTATTAATGAATTAGTACGGGTCAAAGTAACTTCAATTATTAATGAATTAGTACGGGTCAAACTTCAATTATTAATGAATTAGTACGGGTGAAAGTAACTTCAATTATTAATAAATTAGTACGGGTCAAAGTAACTTCAATAATTAATAAATTAGTACGGGTTAAAGTAACTTCATTGCGATTGATTAAACGTCCACTGTTTACAGAAGTGTCTCATACATCAGAATTCTACGATCATTCCAATGATACACGGGCTTGTTGGTCTAGCTGTTTAGGCATACTGTCCTACCTCCGACGGTTGTGAGTTCGATTCTAGTACTGTACGATCATTTGTATTCATGAGCATGCATTGATCTGTGTGGAATAGAAAATCATTTATTCAAATAAACTTACATTGAAGCACTTTTGAATAGTCATCACATTTTTTTAGTATATATTTATTAAGCTCTACCATTTAAAATGATGTAGACTAGATTACCAAAAATAGGCGATTTATCTATTGTAAATTACAATTTATCACATGTCAAAGTCAATATTTTTATGTTTACTATAGATTTATAATTTTGTAACTGAAAAGCTAAATGTAAATTTTATTATATATACATCATCATCATCATCATCATCGCAGCCCGGAAGACGTCCACTGCTGGACATAGGCCTCCCCCAAAGATATATATATATACATGGAAAATCTGAACTCTGAATTTATAAAGGTATTTATTAGTGATCGGTCTGGCATCCATAAACTCTTGCTTAGTTTGGGACTAGATGGCGCTGTGTTAATTGTCTCAAGATATAAATGTACAGAAAAATACTAAGAGTGAAAAATTACGAATAAGACACGTGGTGTCTCCACGTGTCTTATTCGTAATTTTTCACTCTTAGTATTTTTTTATTACTCAAGGTTAGCTTTTCAGCGAGATTATGATACTAGCTACTCGCCCCGACTTCGCACGGGTGTACATGTATTACATATATATAAACCTTCCCATAGAATCACAAAAAAACCGCTTCAAAATCCGTTGCGTAGTTTTAAAGATTTAAGCATAGATAGGGACAGACAGCGACAGAAACTATTTTATACTAGCTGTACTCGCGACTTCGTCCGCTTGGAATAACTTTATTTTTCTAAAATAAAAGTAGCCCAAGTACTTATTACATCAGCTATCTGCCAAAAAAGTCCCGTCAAAATCGGTCCAGCCATTTCAGAGATTAGCCGGAACAAACATACAGACAGACAAAAATTGTAAAAAATGTTATTTTAGTGTATGTACGTATTTATATTCACATGCATGTAGTAAAATCGGTTATTTCAATATCACAAACAGACACTAATTTTATTTATATGTACATACTAGGTAATGAAGTGATAAGTCTTTAGGCAGATGGGGATATGCCAGTTAAGTTAACCTCCACGCGGTTCCACCTAGAAACCACTGGATTTGTCACGATGGGCTACCTTGGTTGCCATTCAAACTACATAAAACCAAGACATCGCTACGTCATGGATGAAGCGTGTTGCCATTCTGTAGCTAAGATATGTCTCTTACCCTGATACTTTCATTATGATTGAGTGTGAAGTTGATCTTTAATCGAAAGAAAGATCTTGGCAGGTACCTGATGTAATAAGGAGTAACTTAGGCTACTTTTATTTTAGAAAATAAAGTCAACGCAGACGAAGACGCGGGAACAGCTAGTGCTAAAGTAAAAATGTATCTGGATAAAGTTATACAGTCTTCAACCGAAAGAAAGAAAATCTTGGCAGGTCCCTGATGTAATAAGGAGCAACTTAGGCTACTTTTATTTTAGAAAAATAAAGTTAAATTCCACGCGGACGAAGTCGCGGGAACAGCTAGTGCTGAAGTAAAAATGTACCTAGATAAAGTTACAGTCTTCAACCGAAAGAAAGAAAATCTTGGCAGGTACCTGATGTAATAAAGAGTAACTTAGGCTACTTTTATTTTAGAAAATAAAGTTAAATTCCACGCGGACAAAGTCGCGGGAACAGCTAGTGCTAAAGTAATGTAACTGGATAAAGTTATACGGCAACTGATATTGAGACACTAACGTGACGGTTCGTCCTATCAGTCGAGCCGTAAGCTTGTTTGTCATATATGTATATACATAAAAAAGTTATAGATTGGCTTTCTGCTAATTCCACTTCATCCAAAGTGACACTAGCGTGACGTTTGTCACTTTACCAGGCGAGCCGTAAGCTTCTTTGACATTCATATATTGTATATGGACTATCTTATTGCTGAAAATGTACCCTGCCAGGTCGACCTCCACGCGGAAACCCCTAGAAACCAACGTACGTTCCTGGGAAATTTGTGACTTATCTCCCACTAGTACCCCGCCAGTGTAAACCGTTAGCCCATAGAGGTACACTAATCCACTGTCAGATTAAAAAAAGTCCTTCGGGACAACAACAACAGTACCTGAACAGTATCAAAGACATCACCCAACTGCCTGTAATTTCATGTCATCCTGGTACTTTCATTGTATCACACCTATTTTATAAGAGCATGGAACTGACCTGTCCTCATGCTCATCTTATCCTCCACTGGTGCCCCGTCAGCGTATACCGTTATCGCAGGCGGGTGCACCATTACATCATGGAAGACCTTCAAGTCTATAGAAAGTAGCAATTATCGCCTATATACATGAACAGTACTGCCTGTAACTTCATGCTATCCTGGTACTTTCACTGTATCATTTTATAACAGCAAGGAAGCAAGGAACTGATTTTTTGATTTTTCTTTCTGCCTTCATTTTCAGCCTATCATCCTACTACTAGTACATCCTCTACTGGTGCCCGCCAGCGTACCTACACAGCAGCGTAGATATAGATAAAGTGTCAACCGTCGCCTATATACATGAACAGTACCAAACATCACCCAACTGCCTGTAACTTCATGTTATCCTGGTACTTTCACTACATCCCACCTATTATTTACTAGCTGTTCCCGCGACTTCGTCTGCGTGGAATTTAACTTTATATTTCTAAGATAAAAGTGGCCTAAGTTACTCCTTATTACATCAGCTACCTGCCAAAAAAGGCCCGTCAAAATCGGTCCAGCTATTTCAGGGATTAGCCAGAACAGACAGACAGAAAATTGTAAAATGTTATTTTGGTGTATGTACCGTATTTATATTCATATGCATGCAGTAAAAAACGGTTATTACAATATTACAAACAGACACTCCAATTTATTTATATATATAGATAAGAGCTTTGAACTGATCTGACCTCATTACTCACCCTATAATCCTCCACTAATGCCACGCCAGCGTATACCGTCAGCACAGGCGGGGGCACTATTCCATTATCATGTATATCATAGTATCTTGTATATACATGAACAGTACCCAAAGACATCACCCAACTGCCTGTAACTTCATGTTATCCTGGTACTTTCACTGTATCACACCTATTATTTTATAAGATCAACCTATCATCCTCCACTGGTGCTCCGCCAGCGTACCTACACATCAGCGTAGATAAAGGGAAAGTGGCAACCGTCGCTATATACACGAACAGTACCCAAAGACATCACTTAACTGCCCGTAACTTCATGTTATCCTGGTACTTTCGCTGTATCACACCTATTATTTTATAAGATCAACCTATCATTCTCCACTGGTGCTCCGCCAGCGTACCTACACATCAGGGTAGATATAGGGAAAGTGGCAACCGTCGCTATATACACGAACAGTACTCAAAGACATCACTTAACTGCCCGTAGCTTCATGTTATCCTGGTACTTTCATTGTATCACAACTATTATTTTATAAGATCAACCTATCATTCTCCACTGGTGCTCCGCCAGCGTACCTACACATGAGCGTAGATATAAGGAAAGTGGCAACCGTCACCTATATACACGAACAGTACCCAAAGACATCACTTAACTGCCTGTAACTTCATGTTATCCTGGTACTTTCACTGTATCACACCTATTATTTTATAAGAGGATGGAACTGACCGGACCTCTTATTCATCCTATCATCAACCACGGGACTCGCCAGGGTATACCGTTTACACCATGGGTGCACCATACAACTATCATACATAAAAAAACACGACTGATAACGTCATCACTGTACCAGACACCTTCAGTTCTACAATATATATAGAGTGTCAACCGTCGCCTATATACATGAACAGTACCAAACATCACCCAACTGCCTGTAACTTCATGTCATCCTGGTACTTTCACTGTATCACACTTGTTATTTTATAAGAGCATGGAACTGACCTAACTTCAAGCTCATCCTATCATCCTCCACATCCGGTGCTTTTTATGTAAATAGGCAACAGTCAATAATTTTCCATTAGGTGGGTAAGTCAGTTGCTATCCCATTGAAATCTTATAAAATTCTCGTGTCACAGTTTCGTTCCCATACTCCTCCAATTCTCATGAAATTTTGTGAGCGTATTGAGTAGTTCTGAGAATCGGCTAACATCTATTTTTCATCCCCCTAAATGTTAGGGGTAGTCCACCCCTAAATTATTATTTTTTATTTTAAGGCAAAACAACGTTTGCCGGGACAGCTAGTCATATATAAAATTCTCGTGTCACTATGTTAGATACCATACTCCTCTCCGAAACGTCTTGACCGATTTTTATTAAATTTTATATGCATGTTCAGTAGGTCTGAGAATCGGCTACTATCTATTTTTCATACCCCTAAGTGATAAAGGTTGTCCACCCAAAACATTTTTTATTTATTGGAATTTTTTATGTTTTTATAATGTTGCATTAAAAATTCATACAACTAAATTATAGCCTTTCTGCCACCAACCCCATTTTTAATAGCGATTATTTTATATGGCAAAGCAACGTTTCCGGGTCAGCTAGTAAATACATGAAAAGCTCGTAAACTAAAACTAAATGTGTTGAAATTTCCATGCGACATTTTTACACTACGATGGTTGTAACCAAGCATTCGGTTCCAATATGATGGTAATCTGATTTACACAAATAATGATCCTTTTAAATAAAAACTTCACCTAACGTTATCTACTTTAGGTGAAGTTTTTATTTAAAAGGACAAATAAAAAAATATTCTTTTTTATATTCAAATATACCCAAAAACAGAGTACCTTCTTATAAATCTGTTAAAAAGAACTAAAACATACTGAATTCTCAACAGACAGAGAGAGAAACTAGACAGTCGTTTTTTTAGGTTTTAAAGTGTCAAATTAAACAATTTACAATTGAAATGTGAACAAACATACCTAAATTCTCAACAACAGACACAGAAACTAGGCATTCGTTTTTTCGTTCGTCTATACATGAACAGCGCTACAGACATCACGTTATCACGTTATCAAGTGACAAACTCATGAGTTGCCTTAATACCAGAATACAAAGCATCATAACACCCTGTAATTTCATTGCCCTACACGCTGCTTTTAATTCTTTATGTTAATAGTCACTATATACATTTATTAATAGAACTATTTTTAATGAAAATAATATTTCTAAAATAAAGTAGCCTTAACATTAGCTATTTGCGAGTTAAGTCCGTCAAAATCGGTCCGGCCGTATCAAAGATTAGCAAGAACAGTAATAATACTTTCATAGGCATTTAGTGAAAAGCTGTTAATTTGAATTTACAGTTATAGACATAGAATATAAGAATATTATATATAGAATATAAACAGTTGTGTATAGATAAGCTTATAAAATTATATATTCTTGTTCGAAAGGCAATTTAGCTTTTAAAAACAGAGATATCAATCAATGCATTTCTATAATGAACCTATGTATTTCAAACAATTAAAAAAGAAAAGCTGTTAATTTGAATTTACAGCTATAGACATAGAATATAAGAATATATTATATAGAATATAAACAGTTGTGTATAGATAAGCTTATAAAATTATATGACGACCTCGGTGGTCTAGCGGTCTAGTACACCGCTTTACTACCGATGGTCGCGGGTTCGATTCCTCGCACGGCACAAACATTTGTATTCATGAGTATGATTGTTTGTATCGGTCTGGGTGTTTTCTATGTATAATATGTATTTATTTACAATAAAATATCTATGTATATGTATCAGTTACGAGTACCCATAACACAAGCTTTAGCTAGCTTAACTTGGGTCTAGATGGCGCTGTGTGACTTGTCCTGAGATTATTATTATTATTATAAGCGGTTAAAAAGTCCTACATGAATAAAATTATATATTATTGTTCGAAAAGCAATTTAGCTTTTAAAAACCGAGATATCAATCAATGCACTTCTATAATGAACCTATGTATTTCAAATAATGGAATAGACAACGGTGTAGAAAAAATCAGGCTAGATCCCTCACTGGGTAGACAGAACCTTCTAGTATTGGCTTTTATGCAGACCTAGTCCCATTTACATTCAACTCGTCTCATGCATAGACAGCAGTTCCAGTGAAATGCATCAGAGATAGAGAATCTGTAGGGTACAGAAGTATCTTCAGGAATGACAACATGAGTACCAGGGCGTTACCACTTACCATCAGGTATGTAGTTCTTTAGGTTTCCAGTTCAAGATTTAGTCCAACAACCGAAAGGTAGGACTTATCTTGCGGCGTCATCTACCAGGCAACCATGATAGGTGCAGAGCACTTAAGTTTTACAAAAGATTTGCTTGTATGCAGAACTAGTTCCATTTAATTTTATGCTATCAGAGATATAACTATAAGGTACAGATGCATCTTCGAATAGCAATGCACGAGTATAAGGTCCTAGTTGCTGTTCATGTATATAGGCGATGACCACTTACCATCCGGCTTGATTGGTTTCCAGTTCATTTTATGTACGCATTAAAAAAGTTTAATCTAGTACCCATAAGCACTTGGCTTGGGACTAGATGGCGCTGTGTGAATTGTCCAAAGATAATAGGAACAACTATTTTTATTAATTTAATGCACATAATCCAAAATGAACATGGCGGATGTGATGCATCTTGTCGCTTTATGTACCAGGCAACCATAAGTGACAAAGAGCTTACACAAAAGATTTTATAAAACTATTGTTTGTACAAGAGTTAGCGGCCTTACCTACCAGGCAATCATGAGTCTAAAGAGCCTTACACAAAAGATTTTATAAGACTATTGTATAAGAGTTAGCGGCCTTACCTACCAGGCAACCATGAGTCGTAAAGAGCTTACACAAAAGGACTATTACAAGAGTTACTTACATAGAGTAGCAGGGTTTTTCTTGTTGACCGTAGTGGCCATGGGTCGCCCCTTCAAACATTTCAGCAGCGAGACGTTCTTCGGCAAAACCGCCTTCCTCAGAACTAGAGCCATGTTTTTTAATTGTTTTTTGTACTATTTCTCTATTAGCCGGTATGGAAAACTTGAAATTTTTCTATTTTATTGAGTTACTTGAGAATTTTGGCCATGGTAGTGGGCTGGATGAATGTGATGTGCCCGAACAAATGCGCCGTGGAATGGATGCGAAATTCAAATTTTCGAATTATTCTTTTTCATGTTCTTTTTATGGCTGTTTGGAATTCTATTCTTGAGTTGTTTTTTTTTAATAAACCTATGAGATGATTTTGCGTAGATGGAGAAATTTATTATTGTTTATTATTTATTTACTTATTAATCTATACATATAAATAAATTTGGAGTGTCTGTTTGTAATATTGGAATAACCGTTTTTTACTACATGCATATGAATATAAATACGGTACATACACCAAAATATTATTTTCTTCCGGTTAATCTCTGAAATGGCTGGACCGATTCGACTGGACTTTTATTGGTATGTAGCTGATATAATAAGGAGTAACTTAGGCTACTTATATTTTAGAAAAATTCTATTATTTTAGAAAAAATAAATTAAATTCCACGCGGACAAAATGATAAATTCCTGTCGAATCCATTAAAAAAATTAGCAGATCAAGAACAACACAAAGATTTTTTAGTGTAGGTTATATTTGAAATCACGACCTTTTGCAATTCAGGGTAGCAGTAAGCTACAACTCACCTCCGATCGATCCCCCGTCCAACTCAAACGGGGATTGAAATTACGACGGCCTGTGCCGAGGTTCGAACCCCCATCAGTGTCCTCATGGGTACCAGGCTGTTACCACTTACCATCAGGTGGATGTGATTCTTTAGGTTTCCAGTTCAAGAGTCATTTTATCCTTAATCCTACTTAAAGGTAGGATTACGGACTTATCTTTCGGTGTTATGTACCAGGCAACCATGATAGGTGCAGAGCACTTACATTTTACAAAAGATTTGCTTTTATGCAGAACTAGTTTTTCCATTCAAAATCAAATTTAAAAATCATTTATTCATGTTCACCAGACATTTTAGCCGCTTATGAACGTCAAGTTTTTACATTATAATTTTTTTTCCCTACCGTCCAGTTCGGTATATAGATCCAATTGAGAAGAACTGGCAAGAAACTCAATTGAATTACTTTTTTTTTAAAAGCCAGTTTATTTACAATGTATAGGTATTTATATAGGTGTCTATGTCTAACATTAAATGAAAATCCCGTACATGAACAACTATTGTCATGCACGCATTCAATTTAATATATCAAGACATAGCAGAAAGTACAGGGAAAGAGGCATCCTCACACTAAAGTCGTATCCGTTAGACAGGAGTTGGCCTTCAGCCGCTCCATAAGTCCTTCCTTTGGTTTGGAGTACCATCTGCACTCGCCCCCTACCGTCCGGTGAAGCTAAAGTACGAACATTAGAGTATTCCGAAAAAAAGGTCTTATACATAAAAATAAAAACTATAATTAACATTTAATATATTTAATGGTTAATAATTTAATCATTTAATAATGTATCTAAATATATATAACTCAAAGATGACTGACATAGTGATCTATCAACGCACAGCCCAAACCACTGGATAGATCGGGCTGAAATTTGGCATGCAAGTAGATGCAATGACGTAGATATCCGCTAAGAAAGGATTTTGATTAATTCTACCCCCAAGGGGATAAAATAGGGGATGAAAGTTTATATGAAACTTTGTCAATTTTAAACCGATCGGGCTGAGACCTTGCATGCCTAAAGCTACTATGACGTAGGCATCCCCTAAGAAAGGATTTTGATAAATTCCACCCCTAAGGGGATAAAATAGGGGATGAAAGTTTTAGTACAGTAAAAAAGTTTAAGTACAGTAAACTGTGCTTTTTTTTTATTGGGTTGTTTGGGCTATTGTCAGATGTGTAGCACCTGTAGCACTGCGACCTACATAGATCTATTGTGCTCGCCCTTTTTCAAAGTTCGCTACCTAGACCCGTCAGGGACAAGAATTGAAGGATATTCTTAGGAGCGATGGTTTTTATCTCCTCAGGATAGAGTGTAAACTTTCCAAAGGAGATATTTCGTTTATGCATGAGTGGGCTACAACCACATAGGATGTGTAGTGGTGTTAAACTCTGCTTAGTTTCAAACTAGATGGCGCTGTGTTATGTGGGTTTATTTATTTAAATATCTTCAGTAATATTTACTCCAAAAACATATTTTTCTAATCGCCAGAATCAGGTGGATCTTCGACTGACTCAACTTCTGTAGGAAAGAAACAATTTATTCAACATATAAATAAAATTGGAGTGTCTGTTTGTGATATTGAAATAAAAATCGTTTTTTACTACATGCATATGAATGTACTAGTTACTCGCCCTGGCTTCGCACGGGTGTACATGTATTATACATATAAACCTTCCTCTAGAATCACTCTATCTATTAAAAAAACCCGCTTCAAAATCCGTTGCGTAGTTTTAAAGATTTAAGCATACATAGGGACAGACAGCGACAGCGACTTTGTTTTATAATAAGTACTAATTATATTTTTTATTACAGAAATACAGTACATACACCAAAATAACATGTTTTACAATTTTTGTCTGTCTGTCTGACTGTTCCGGTTAATTTCTGAAATGGATTGACCGAATTTGAAGTGACTTGTTGGCAGGTAGCTGATGTAATAAGGAGTAACTTAGGCTACTTTTATTTAAGAAAAATAAAGTTAAATTCTACGCGGACAAAGACAAAGTACAATAGTTTACTATAAATTTATTCGTGATTAACAATACAGATAACGTATAATCTAATATATAAAACTGTATGATTAATTATTGAATATTATGTATGATTACATACATGTTTAATATTTATATTCATTTATTCTGATTTATAGTTATTTTTAAAAAATTTTTCTATTAGTCGACTGGGAGAAAATGCCTTAAAGTGTTAAGAACGACATATGCATATGTATTTATGCATACATGTTTTAATAAATAAACATTATCTGGATAAAGGCCCCAAGATGCAATAAAAAAAAAATAAACCCTCCATGAAATTTTGATATCGATCGTACAAGCCGTTTTGGAGGAGAAAGAAAGAAAGAAAGAAAGGAGCATCGTTACAAAGAGTGTAAATCTGATAAATATATAAATACACTTACTAATATTATAAATGCGAAAGTAACTCTGTCTGTCTGTCACCCTTTCACGCAAGAACTACTAAACCGATTCTTAATACTTACGTACGTAGTGAGCACGGAAGAGTCCAGCCATTTCAGAGATTAGCCGGAACAAACAGACCGACAGACAGACAAAAATTATAAAAACTAGCTGTCCTGGCAAACGTTGTTTTGCCATATAAATTAATAACGCTATAAAAAAATAGGGGTTGATGATAGAAGGGTGAAAATTTAGGATTGTATGTATTTTTGTATGTTATATCATAAAATAATAGAAACTAAAAATTTTGTCTAAAAAATAAAAAAAAATATAGGGGTGGACTACCCCTAACATTTAAGGGGATGAAAAATAGATGTTGGCCGATTCTCAGACCTACTCAATACGTTCACAAATTTTCATGAGAATCGGTCAAGCCGTTTCGGAGGAGTATGGGAACCAAAACTGTGACACGAGAATTTTATATATAAGATATTATTTCGGTGTATGTATCGTATTTATATTCATATGCATGTAGTAAAAAACGGTCATTTCAATATTACAAACAGACACTTCAATTTTATATATATATATATAGATTAGCTGTGCCCGCGATTTCACGCGCGTTAAAGTTCAATAAAAATATACCCTATGTGTTATTCTGATGCATAAGCTACTGTAAAGTTTCATCAAAATCCGTTCAGTAGTTTCCGCGTGAAAAAGTAACAAACATCCATACTTACAAACTTTCGCATTTATACATTAATAAGAATAGCAACCCGTCCTTCGTAGCTTCGCACGTGCCCAATTTATTCATGTAGGTCTATTACAGACTCTTATGATATGTCAAATCTACCGTCAGTTCGCAATGATTTCGAGATGAGAAGAACTGACAAGAAACTCAGCTCGTATTCTTTTCAAATAAATGTTGTACATGTTTACAATAATACAGATACATTTAAATTCAAATATAAAAGTAGCAAACTTCGAATTTGACATCTGGGGAAGTAATAAATTAAAAAAAAATCTGCAAGCATGGTCTTGTACCATAATATTAGTTTCACGGTGCGTTTGACTGTATCCATATATGTAATAATTATTCATGTATGTATGTATGAATAATTTAATGGCATATAACATAATACATCACATTATTTGTAATTTATTTATATATTATTATATATAACTTGCTTCCGTCATGATTTGTAATTCCGTTCACATATAAAGGGCTCGAAGTTTAACATATATAACACTAGCTGTACCCGCGACTTCGTACATGTGGAATTTAACTTAATTTTTCTAAAATGAAAGTAGCCTAAGTTACTCCTCATTACATCAGCTATCTGCCAATAAAAGTCCCGTCAAAATCGGTCCAGCCATTTCAGAAATTAGTCGGACTAAACAGACAGACAGATGAAAATTGTAAAAAATGTTATTTTGGTGTATGTACCATATTTATATTCATATGCATGTAGTAAAAAACGGTTATTTCAATATTACAAACAGACACTACAATTTTATTTATACACATATATAGATATATGCCTAGTCTTTCCATAAATATTCTTACAAGGAAAAATCATTATTTTTTCTATTGCATATAACATTTATAATTGTAATTTGACGACCTCGGTGGTCTAGCGGTCTAGCACACCGCTTTACGTCCGATGGTCGCGGGTTCGATTCCTCGCACGGCACAAACATTTGTATTCATGAGTATGATTGTTTGTATCGGTCTGGGTATTTTCTATGTATAATATGTATGTATTTACGAAAAAAAAAAATTATCTATGTATTTGTATCAGTTGTCTAGGACCCATAACACAGGCTTTAGCTAGCTTAACTTGGGTCTAGATGGCGCTGTGTGAATTGTCCTGAGATTATTATTATTATTATTAATTTGTTAGTTTGAACATTAGTATAAAAACACTAATTATTTTAACAAACGTTGTTTTGTAAAATAAATTAATACCACTATTAAAATAGAGGTTGATTGTAATGATCACGATGTGCTAACTGACCTGACCTCATGC